TATCAGTAATTCAAGAGAAAACAAAAATCTTTGTAAAGCAAAGCATAGAAGAAAATCAGTAATGTTTTAGTCAAAAGTCATAGAATTCTATTTTACCTTTTCAGTTTCATGTAATTAATCTCTCTTCTGTTGAATTTGTAGTGTTACTGTGGTCCAATCTTTCCATTTAAGTTCTGGAAGTTAACATTCAACATTATTATTGATCTTTCCAGACTTGTCCCTACCATTAAATTGGACATTATCTTAGTTGTTTTTTGTACTCTTATTTCTGTGTGTCCGACTTTAGCTTTGCTGTTCTGGTGTTGTTAAGTTCTTTTAGGTTTTGTTTATCTGAGAGTGTTTTAGTTTTTTCTTCCTATATGAAGGATAATCTTTCTGGGTATATTATTCTTGGTTTTTCACTTAATGCTTTAAATATATTTTCCCATTCTTTCCTTTCTTGCATTGTTTCCAATGAGGGGTCCAATGTTAGCCTGATGGGATATCCTTTGATAATATCTTGCCTTTTTTCTCTGGCCAATTTTAGTGTCGTGTCTCTCTGTGGTTTTGGTCAATCTGGCTATGATGTGCCTTGGAAAAGATCTTGTGTTGATTCTATTTGGGGTCCTTTAGATTTCTTGGATATGGATATTTGTATGACTAGGTTTGAAAAGTTTTCTTATAGGATTTCATGGAATAGATGTCAATGCCCTTATTAGTTTATTCACCCTCTGGGATACCAAGGATCCAGATGTTTGGGCATTTAATAGTATCTAGTATTATTCGTATATTATTCTCTTCTGGGATTATTTTCTCAGTTTTATTGGTGAATTTTTCTGTGTCAGAGGTTCTGTCTTCTACATCTGAGATTCCATCTTCTGCAAGATCTAATCTGCTTTAAATCTTTCAAGGGAGGTTTTGATTTCCTGTATTGTAGCCTTCATCTCTAACAGTTCCATTTGATTCTTATTTATAGTGTGTATTTCCTCTTTCAGATCATGCAAGAACTTCCTCACCTCCTGGAACTTGTCTCTTTTCTCCTGCCTCTTCTGCAATTTGTTGTCTCTCTTCTGTTGCATCTCTGTTAGCTTTATTACTATGAATATTCTAAATTCTTTATCTGACATTTCTATGAGTTCCTTATATTGTCTATAGAGGATAAGAGTCATTCTTTTCCCTTGGGGGGGGAGATATGTTCTTGGCTTCTCATATTATTTGTGCCTCTGTGGTGATATCTGGTCATCTGATGGATTATACGTATTTTCCTAATTTTTTATAGTTAAATCTGAATATTCAGAGGCGTGGAGGGGGAAGTGATCTACAGTCTCCCTGCAGTACCGTTTTTCTCCCTTTGTACAGCATAGTTCATAGAAATTGAGGATTACTTTGACCCTAAAAGCATTCAAATATTTGGCTACTGTGTACCTAGATCTGTCTAGAGACTCAGTGTCCAGAGGATGGCCAGATCTTGGGGTCAGGAGGGTAAAGTCTGGGCAGAAAATCTTCAGTTGTCCTAGTCCCTGAAAAGGGGCTGTTCAGACCTTAAATGTAGATGGCTTGTGATTGGCCCGCCCTGGCTAGATCCTGGGGTCAGGAGGGTAATGTCTCTGTATCCCCCTTTTTACTTTTTTAAAATATTCATTCATTTATTTATTTCCATTTGTTGTTGCTATTATTATTTTATTTGGCCAGAGAGAGAGAGAGACAGGGAAAGCGAGAAAATAAGCCGCCAAGTCTGGGACTTGAACCACAGTCAGCCATGTTGAAATCTAGCACTTTTAACCACTGCACCACCTGCTGGCACAAGATCCCCTTTTTAAACAAGAAGAAACACATAAAACAGTGCAATGTAAATAAATCCCAACAGGTCTAGCTTTTGACTACAAATGTGGTTACTCAAAAGTTCGTTATATTGGAATTTGATCCATAGAAGGTCCTGAACTATTTGCTTTCTTTGGAGATACCACTTGTGTCCAATAGGGTGAAAAGGCTACCTCTAACTTTCATGGCCCTGAGGAGGCTTGTTGGAAAGAGACTATGAGGGCCACATTTCTAGGGCTCAGCTCCTCCCAGCAAGGTCAAGCCTCCGTTGAAGTTCAGATAGAGCCTGCGTGTCACATTGTTGGTGCTTTCATGATGCTGCATGGAGTGGCAGCTGTACCTGGATCAGGCAATATCTTGTGTTAGGTAGGATACAGGCCTGGTTCCCATGACAGAGATCCAAAATGACAGTTGTGCAAGCACACCCATCTAGAGAGGGTGGGAGCTCCTGGAGTTAGAGAACCATGCTCTTGACTGGCTGCTCCTTCATCACTGGTGATAACCTTACAGATGGCCAACATGATAAACCCCCAAGGAAGAAGGGCATGGCCTTCCACCTCAGGACAAACTCACAAGGTGCTCACCTTACTTCTAATCATATCTGTGCAAAAGGAAGAGATCGAAATTGAGAATAGTTGTGTATCTGCCATGATGGCCCAAGGTAATCGGAGTGCTCCTGTCCATTTGCTTATTTATGATAGCCCCCCTGCCCAGTCCAGACAAATGAGCGTCTTAAAGGAAGGAGAGGACACTGGGAGAATAATTAGTACCATGGTGTCACCTTTCAAGTCACTGTGTAAGTGGATGTAGGGCTCAGAGTATATCCTGAAACTTGACATACATCTGTAATGAAGGAACTGTATTTTTTAAATTTTTGTTTCTTGATATTTTTAACTAGAATTTACTACCTAGTTTGTAGAGTCATAGTGAGGAATGTAGTTATTTATACTTTATTTTCTAGGGAATTAAAAGAACTATTTGAGGATTATTATCAAGGTTAAAAAGAGAGAGAGAGAAAGAAACTTAAGTTTCCTTTTTTTTTTTTTTTTAAAGTTAATGTCAGGGCCCAACCGCAGGGGTGTAGTTGAGGTACAATATTCTGAAGTGCTGGAAGTGATGGGAAGATTAGGGTACAGTTTCCAGGTTGACCTTGAACACACCAAGCATGTGCTCATGTGCCCATGATCCTGGCTGGCTGAGGGGAGGGGATCACAGTGTGAGACTCTGTCAAGGGTGGACACCCTCCTCCACAATACATAAATGAACTTCAAACAATTTTAATGTCAGAGAAAGCATGTAATAGGAGAAAGGTAATGATTATATAACAGATTGGTTTGTTTCAGGACAGTAAAAATTGTAGTCATGAATGTGTCCATAAGTGTTCCCAACAACAGCTTTTGTTGGAGCAATGTTACAAAGAATGTGCTGTCATAGGCTAGCATGTTGCACTTGCGTCACTCTCCTGCTGACCCGTCAGGATGTAGATGCTTTTAAGTACAGAGAGAGAACAGTATTTGTAGGGGAAGCAGTTTCCAGTGGAGAATAGTCCTCTGTTGAAACCCTCATGGCCTTTCTTAAAATAACTACATCACTAACCTCGAAAAGAGTGGATGTTCTCTCTCAGTGCCAGACTCCATAGTCCCTCATCTGATGTCAATGACCAGGCATTCCAGGCTGGCTAGAAGGTAGGGGAAAGCCCAGCCCTGCTATGTTGTGGGCACTCCTGCCATCATCTCTGGGCTGTCCTCTCTCTGTTTTGTCACAGAAGTGAATTCCAGAGTGATGAACTTGTACAAAACAATTAGGTGTCAGTCTCTTTATCATAATTAGAAGGCCAGCAGAAAGATCTTAGAGTCACAGAAATGAATTCCAGAGTGATGAACTTGAACTTGTACAAAACAATTAGGTGTCAGTCTCTTTATCATAATTAGAAGGCCAGCAGAAAGATCTTAGAGAAGGTGGGAGTCCCAACAATTTCTTCATTGTGCCACAGAGGGGTTCAGTTGCTGGTGGGTAATTTTGGTTCTTTGCATTCTTCTCTTATTTAAAAAAAGGATCCTAGGTTACCCCTCTTCATAACTCCATCTCACTTATTCTTCTGCCCTGTGCCTCTTGGCTTAGTTATAAAATATAGTTATGACAAAAACATGGAAGGTTTTAGCTTTAGAAAAACTACCCCAAATGAAAAGCAGTTCATGTAGCTAATAGTCATTGCAGAGTAGAACTTTCTAAACTTTCTAACCAAATTATTGAAAATAAGTGAACCATGCCTCTATCTTTTTTCTAGATAGTCATGTGAAATAAATAAGTAATTAAACTCACTTAATGCAGATTATCTGGGCCTATTGTATGATGGGTAAGGCAACTGGATCCCACGTGACTGGATGTGCAAAGTCCCAGCCCTTGCAGCTTGAGAAACGCACCAGTCATTGCGCACATGCCCAAAATCCTGATAAGAGGGAGAAATGGAGAAGAGATTACAGTGTTATTATTCCCCATGGTGTGTGTGGGGGGGTGCTTTTTCACACCTTCCCCCATGAAATAAGCACATGCGCCCTCTGGAAAAAAAAGTGATTAACTTTTTTTTTTTTTTTTTTTTTTTTGAGCATTGTGCTGAAGATTTTATTTACATGATCACAACATTTCTTTGTGTATGTGTCAGTCTGCGAAAGTTGCTGTAACAAAATACCATAGATTGGATGGTTTACACAATGGAAATGTATAGTGTCACAGTTCTGGAGGATGGAAGTCCCAGATCAAGGTGTAAGCAGAGTTCTTTCTCCTGAGGTTTCTCTACTTGGCTTGTGAATATCCACCTTTTTGCTGTGTTATCACTGCCTGTCTTCTGTGCACATCCCTGGTTCAGATTTTTTCTTCTAAGAACACCAATCAGATTAGACTAGGACCTAACCTAACAGCCTCATTTTAATGCAGTCTCCTCTTTAAGGGTTCTGCCTCCAAATACAGCCACACTCTGAGGTACTGGCTTGAGCTTCAACATATGAATTTGGGAGTGACACAGTTCAGTTCATAACAGTGTATAAATTATGAGAACACTGTGAGTGACATGGCTCTCTAAGGTGAAATTGAAGTTCACACATTTGCAGGTTTCCTTATGCTCTTCCTTTGTGTTCTCATACCTAACATTCTCAAACTATGGAGACTAAATTATTTCCTGTGCTTCTATTTCTGTTTGGCAGGCCTGGCAGCTTCGGTTCAGCCACCTTGTGGGCTATGGTGCCAAATATTATTCTTACCTGATGTCCAGGGCAGTGGCATCCATGGTTTGGAAGGAATGTTTTCTACAGGATCCTTTTAACAGGTAATGGGTGTGTGTGTGAGGGGGTGGCGGGGGGGGGCAGTGGGGTATCTCTTCCTCTAAGCATAGTCATTCTAAGCCCACTACCTCAGAAGTCCTGGTGAGAAGTAGAAGCTCTAAGCAGTGGGCTCCTCACATAGTGCTTTCCGTGGGTGCCTTCTCCTGCATTCGGGAAGCTGACTGTGGCCCTGCACTTCTGCCTCCCTCACCTACAATGTAGTGCTAGAGTGGTGATCACTGCACAGACTGGCCCCAGATTGCTTTGTTCCCAGGACTCTTGCATGTCCTTTTTGTTTTCCCAACTGCTGCTGCTGTCACTCCATTCTGCTCTTGATGCTTCCTGTCACTTTTAAAAGGCTTCCTTACTTTCAGCACAAGTATCTGAAGTTCCACTCACATAACACCTCCTTTATTCTTTATTGCCCAACAAACGACTCAGTACTGTTCCTAATTTGGGAGCAGTTGGGGTATCTCTTCCTCTAAGCATAGTCATTCTAAGCCCACTACCTCAGAAGTCCTGGTGAGAAGTAGAAGCTCTAAGCAGTGGGCTCCTCACATAGTGCTTTCCGTGGGTGCCTTCTCCTGCATTCGGGAAGCTGACTGTGGCCCTGCACTTCTGCCTCCCTCACCTACAATGTAGTGCTAGAGTGGTGATCACTGCACAGACTGGCCCCAGATTGCTTTGTTCCCAGGACTCTTGCATGTCCTTTTTGTTTTCCCAACTGCTGCTGCTGTCACTCCATTCTGCTCTTGATGCTTCCTGTCACTTTTAAAAGGCTTCCTTACTTTCAGCACAAGTATCTGAAGTTCCACTCACATAACACCTCCTTTATTCTTTATTGCCCAACAAACGACTCAGTACTGTTCCTAATTTGGGAGCAGTGCTATTGGCAACTTGGTTTGTTCAATTTAACACCAGGTTATTTTTACAAAGTTACCCCTGTGCTTGACTTTTGCAACACCTTCCTTCCCTGGGAAGCTGTTTCCGAGGAACACTATGGCAGTCTGGAGAAGGTAGCTGCTCTGTGGCGTTCCTGGCATAGCTCCTTGTCATGGTGGCCACGGGTTGCCACTTAGGGTAGGTGACTGCAGGACTCCTCCTTTTCGTCACTTTTTGCTGTTCCACCTTGGAGGTGCCATCCAACACAGGGCATGAGTCGTTTAGACGTGTGGTCTAGTTTTTTCTGTAGAAGGCAGCAGGAAGGTACAGGGATTGCACAGAGTTGGAGAGATGCTGGGGCCTTCCATCAAGTCGAGAAGTAAAAGGGTATCATTGGGTAGGGAGGTCCAGGGGTCTCCATTGGGTGGAGAGGTCTGCTTTTGAATGGGGAGGTGTAGGGGTCTCATGTCAGGGGCAGGGGTAGCTCCAGCTACTCTGATTTGGCCTCCTGATTCTGCTCACCTGACTCCCTCTAACACAGGAACTGAGGGGGAGTCATACTTGATCTTATGATTCCTTGGAAGATGCTTTCTTTGAAAGCAAACCAGTAATTATGGCCTTGTTTTATAGTTGTTTAAACCATTTTATCTCCTCACCACACAAATAAACACATTTCCAAATACCTCTCAGGCAACTCTGGTTGATGACTCTTATCTTCACTGCTTTAATATGGCTTAAAATAAATGGCATCTCAGGTTTTTGGAGTGCTTTAGAGTTTTTATGACATTCACAGTAGCTGTGCAGAACAGGTAGTTTTTATGAGGAGAAACTGAGGCTCAGAGAAGGCAAGTAATTTGTTCAAGACTTCACAGTTAACACAGTATATGAAGATATAATTGAGGTTTTCTAATTCCTACTTTCTTCTTCCTCCCCGCCTCTTTTCCACCCCATTAGCTTTTCACACAATTTGAGATAGATTTAGATTTTTCTCAGCAGTTAATAGTCACAGTCAGTTCTAAAATCTTTTGAACCTGAATCTGATGTCATAGAATTTTTAAGTGTTTTACAGCTTGGTACCCACATGCTGTTTTGTCTTTTGTCCTTTACAGACGGTAGACATTTGGTCTACTTTTCTGATTTTACTATTTTCGAAAGATCTACAGCCAAACGTGACTGTAGTAAATCAATTTCGGGGATTATAACTCTTTACTGGAGATTTCTATAAAATATGCAAAATATCTTGTTTGAAGGAACTGTACTTTTACTGGAAAACCACATGCTATTAAATATATATATTTCCAAATATTTATATCTTGTTTATATGTGCATTCTTGCCTAGACATGTAGTTGACATACTTTTATGGACATGTAAAAGTAAGCTAGTAAAAATGCTCCCTTGACTAGAAAATTTCTAACCACTGTCAAAGGATCCTTTTGATCCCACTTCTGAAAAGTAGCCAGGCTAGGAGCCTAATTCAGGAAGCTAGGCAGTACTGAGCTGATGCAAGCCAGGAGCTAGAGGCCCGAAACAAGGGGTTTGTTTCAGGAGAAGGCGTTTGACTTCGGAGAAAGGGTGCTATATCCCATGGCCAGGCAAGAGACATCGAACAAACCTCCAGGCCAGAGGTCCAGCAAGTACTCCCAGTCACCCCTGCCCCTGAGAGGGCCACGCCTCCATCCCCTGTGCCTTAGCACTTACGTTTGGAAGTGACCAAGGTTAGCGTTTGATATCAACATGCTTTTGACACAATAATACTATCAAGAAGTTGATTAGTAACAATGTTAACCCTATATCATGATGTTCCAGAACTAATGGAAGGAAAAGAACATTTATTTAACTTACCTTATCGTAGTGTATTGTCATTTGCATTGAAGGAATTGCATTTTTCATTAATTAACTTGTTTCCAGGTGCCTAAGTTAAGGTGAGAATTTCTACCAATAAAAATTCTTCAAAACCCATCTTTGGGACCAGCTGGTGGCATGGATCCCACACGGCCAACAATGTGGTCTGAGTCCTGGAAGTAGCAGCTTGAAAGACATGCCAGACACGTGTGCATCCATGCCCAAAATTACAAGAGGAGAATAGAGGAGAAGGGATTGCAGTTCGTTCATCCCCTCTGTGGGGTGATTTCTCCCTCCCTCCCCCATCCTTCTTTCTCTCAAATGAGTACGTGTACCTTATGGCAAAAAAAAAGTAAAGAAACCCTTCTTTACATACTGTGTAGACAGTATTCCTCCTAGAACATAGTATCTCAGTGGTATGTCCAGCTGACAAAGAGTATTAAGAGATAGAAAGCACACCCAGGAGCTGAGTTTTGTGGTCCATTAGTTGTTACTTTAGCCAGAATTTTCTGGCATAATTGACATTCTTCCACCAGCTCCTTTTCCTTCACTTTTATTTTAGTGTTATTTTTCTTTCTTTGCTAGGTCATCTCAACTTCTTTTTAGAAAGTAAAAATAACAAAAAATTTCAAGTTTCATTTAAAAATAATCCTAAAAATTATGGAGAATAAGATAAAATATTTTATCTTGTAATATGCAAGTGTAATAATTCTAGGAAGAGCAGTTGCTTGCTAACAAAACAGAAAGCCAATATAGTTATCCTTTGGCAGTGAATACATCACACCTGGTTGTATTAACTTTAGAATGCTTTGAAAATCAGAATTAAGTTTTTAGAAGCAAGAAAATAATCAAGAAATGTTCACGTGGTGGCAGCTTTTACATACATGACACCAGTATGGCTTTCTTCGAGAATCTCAAGACAAGTGGGAGGAACAGAGGCCCAGCAGGCCATGAGAGCAAGTATCTTACAGACTTCCTTCTTCTCCAGGGCCGCAGGGGAGCGCTATCGCAGGGAGATGCTGGCCCATGGCGGAGGCAAGGAGCCCATGCTCATGATTCAAGGTAAAAGAAAACCAGGATTGGGAACTTTTCTGTGTGTGTGTGTGTGTGTGTGTGTGTGTTTTAAAGTTTACTCATTTCTATTTTCCATGAGAAAAAAAGCAAGCACACCCCCCACAAGGTCTACATCTCAGTCCACCCGCAGCCTCGGTCCCAGATCATGGGCATGCACACCACTCACTGGTGTGTTCAAGAAGCTCTCTAGAACCTTCCTATCTCAGTCAGCCTCACAGAATGTTGTGTTACCACTGTACCTGTCTGGTCCCCTTCTCTTCCTCTCTTTCTCTGTCTTTTTCAAAGTTTTATGAGTTAGGTGTTTTGGAACCTGCAGTTTGTGTTATGCATTTGTACCATCTATAATGAAAGCTATTTTATATTTTCTTCATACTTTTTTTTTCTTCTTAAAGAGATGCTTTAGCTGTGTATTTTATTGTGAACATCTATCTCATTGTATCTCAAATAATAATTTTTAGTCACAATGATTTATTTGAGTACCAAGATAAAATTTCATGCTTTCACTTTGAAAATACTGACACTCTAATAGGAAATTGTTAAATTTGTCACAAATTTGTAATTTTGTTATAAATTCTCAGAAAATTTGCCTTTAGATTTTAATAAGTTATAATATATATATATTTTTAGCTTAGATAACACATTTTTTATTCCTTTATTTCTTCTTCTGAAAGGTTAAGTATACATTTTTAATAAATCCGAAAGTATCAGATTTTTTTTTTTTCTGGTATAACTTCTCTCTCTTTTTTTTTTTAATAGTTTATTTTTTTTTAATTATTTTTTTTTACCATCACAACACACAAATGAATTTTCCATCCAAAATAAACTGTGTATTGGCTCAATCAAGCACGTCAACATATATGTTCTCAGCAAATAATTTCCCAATTCTTGTGTCCTGCATACCTTGCCTTTTGTTTTACCATCCTAGATTCCCCATCCCCCTCCCTCTGTTATGACCCATCCTCCTCCCACATTGTCCCTGGCATCCACGATTGCCCTCCGTGCCTCCCCCCTCCCCAAATGATCTGTCAGTGATCTTAATTAGTCTAAGTCTCTCCAATAGTTATCACAGCTGACACATGCCTCTACATGAACTCAAGTCTGACTTTAGGCCTAAACCCCATTGGGTAAAAAGAGCATACTATAAAGTAGAACCCAACTGGGCCCATACCGCTCACTGCAGCCATCAAATATCCATTTTTTTTTTTAAATGGTACGAATAGTTTTACCGTTTTTTTTTGTTTGTTTTTTGTTTTCGTTTTTTTTTTTTTCCTAACATTCATTCCCTGAGCATCATCACAGCGTACTAAATGTAATTTCCCATCTAGAATAAACTGCACAGTGACCCAATCAAGCATGTTATCATCAATAATATTCCACTTCTACTTTCTTGCTTATGCACATATATATGTTTTTTTTTTCCTCTTCCTCTCTTTATTTTTTATTTTTTTTTATTTTTCCTATGTTTGTCCCTCGATTATCAGCTGATGCGGCACAGCAGTCATCTTGTAGTTACCAGGAATGATGTTGTGGGCATCTGCAGTGTGAATTGTCCTTGGGTATCTGGCTTCCTTAAGAATGGCAGAGTAGTTCTTGTTTTCCCCTGAGGTAATGCAGGGCTGGTAACCGTCATCTTCTCAAGTTGCAAGCTCTTCAACCTTGTTTAAGGCCTCCGGGCCATCCAGCGCCGGAGAGGCCAGAGGCCGGAGAAGCCAGGGATGCCGGGCAGGGGCGTAAGCCCCCGGCTGCGCAGGGGGCGTGAGCCCCGGGCCAAGGCCCGCCGGAGCGGGGGTCCGGGCCGTTCCCAGATTACATATTTTTTTTACCTGTTGGAAAATTAGAACGAAATTAGATCTTTTCTTATTTGCTTATTCTTCTATGTCATTTTTAAATTTAAGTATTTTTACTGAAAACTTAATTATAAATAGAAGTGAACATTATGATTTTTATGAAATGTTCTCATGAATAATATTGGGGGGGATATAACTGATAGTGGATACTCTTAATATATTGACAGTAATATTTGCAGCTGAGCCTTTTGACTATCTGATATAATCGTTTTTAGGAAATAACTCCAATACTGAAGAAGTCTTGTTTTCACTGCAGTAATTGAGTAGGTCCTAAGAGTAATGGGTCTGTCTTAAATGTTTGTTATTTTGATCTATATAATGCCTATAGCCACTTTCTAGCATAACTCCAGTTCCTTGCCTTGTAGCCATTCACTTATTCAGCAGATATTTGTTGAGTGCTCATTATATGCCAGACATGATTAAAAGTGGGAGACGTGTAGCCCTAAGTCTCACTCTTAGGGAGCTTGCATTCATTCAGTCAACTTTTCCAGGTGAGCAGGGAAGGCGTTCATCCAGGCTCGATCTGCTCAGTGCCACAGCAGTTCAAACAAAAACTCGGGCAGCCCAGCCATCCTGCAGGTTTATGTAGCTATCGGTGGCTTATGCCTCAGAGTTGTCCTCTCTCCAGACTGCATGTCGCTACCACCTCAGTTTTCTTTCTAGTGGATTCCTTTTGACCCCTACTGAACTTTGTTACTTCCGGGAACTGTCTTCAGTGATTTTCACATATTTAATTTTCTTAGTGACTCTGTGAGGTAGGAAATATCATTATTTCTGTTTTATAGATGATGAACCAGGTCAAGTCCTTGTCTATGTCATAGGACCAAGATCCGAGCCTAGGACTTCTGGCAGCAGACACTTTGCTCTTTGATGGTTTGTGCCATTTCACCTGTCTGTTACACAGGACATCTCATTAGCAGGCTGTTATAGACCAGGCAAAAGGCAAAAGTGAAGTTAATTGGCTTATCTTAGCAAGCTAACTGATTGTTTAAATTATGCACTTTTAGGCCCAGCCACAGTGGCACACATACAGGGTTCCACTGCATGAGTCTGGACCCACATGGAGGCCTGGGTTTGGATGCTGGCACATGCCTGTGGTTCTAGCTAACTTGGAGGCTGGAGCAGGAGGATCACGACACAGTGAGACTGTCAAAAATGTTTATACAGGGGCCAGATGGTGCTGTAGCGGTAAAACACTGTACTCTGAGGCTGGCCCACATGGGAAGGTTGCAGGTTGGCCTCCAGAGGCATCTCTGATTACACCAGGCACACGCTTGCCCTGATCCAGGGCTGGCTGAAGCCTGCGGGTGGATCTCAGCATCAGGAACATATTGGGGGTACTGTCTGTCTGTCTGTTTCTCTTGTTACTAGAAGAAATAAATAATCTTAGGAAGAAAAAAGTCTGTCTCCCTCCCTCTTTCCTTTTCTCCCCCTTCGCCACCTTTATTTCTCATTAAAAATTTATATATTATTATATATTTATATGTGATTATATTAAATATTATTATATAATTAATATATTAGTATCTTATAACATAATGCCATAATATACAAATGTATTTATATATTATGTAGTATATATTACATATACTTGGAATTACTTTCTCATACAGATATTTCTGTCAGGTACAGTGCCCCAGTAACTGTGCTCTTATCCTTTTTGAGACCAGAATTTAAATGCCCTCCACACATAAATATTAGCTTTCATAGGATTCAATCAAAAGAAAAAAAATTTTAATCCTTTTTAATGTTTGTCTTTTGGCTGGGGGATTTTTTTACCCTGCTTTCCAGAATGTTGCTAATGACCTCTCTCAAAATTCTGTTTTTCATCCAAAACGTTTTGGTGTTAAGAAATCTAATATTTTCTGCACTAAAATTCACATAACCATGAGAGAAAAACAAACCCCATAGTTCAAATTAGAGATAAAGTATTTAGATTCCAGTTAACACCAACAATAGAATGATTCTTCTTTTAAACTTTAATTTTTTAAAAATATTGTTCTGTCAGTTCTTATTAATTCACATGATTTGTTACATGTCAAAGATGAATGGGGAATGCACAAGGAAGTTATGCCCATTGTCACTTTATAGGGTCAGAATTGTAAGAGAAGACTGGTATGGTTTCTCACTTTCTCATAAAGCCAGCCCGTACCTCAAACAGAATGCCTTATATGTGGCCCACGGGCTTAACATTGGGATATCCCTAGGAATGACTGGTGAAATTACTGAGATTCGTGAAAGAAAAGCAAATATGAGGCCAACCAGTGATGCGGTGGCTAAGATGCTGGATCCCATGTGGCCAACCCTGTGATTTGAGTCCTAGACCTAGCAGCTTGAGAAACACACCAGACACGTGTACATGTGAGTCCAAAATCCTAAGAGGAAAATGGAGGAGGAGGGATTATAGCATGGCCTTGTGTATGCTTTCTTACTCTCCTTTTCTCTATTTCTGGCGAGTATACTCACCTTTTAGCAAAATCTAAAAACAAAATCTAGGAAGTATTATTCTTTTTTGCAAATGTAACTTTTTATAGGTGCTTTATAGTTTTTTAGTTATTTACTAGATAAATGTGAAGAATTACATTGTGAAAGACAAACTACCCCTTTCAAATGATAGACCTCCCTGACCAAATTACAGCTCTTATATTTACCTCCTTTTGTTTCTAATCAACTGAGAGCTATCTTTTTCATTTTCAAAAATTTTTCAGAGGGTCCATGTGCTCACTGGAGGCAATGGAGCAAGAGAAAGTAACCCCCATAAGTGAAGATCATGCCACAGTCCCTCTTTCAGTTACTTCTTTTGGGATTTTGGACATGATGCATGCACATAGCAGAGAGAAACAGAGAGAGAGAAAGCATCCCCCCAGTGGAGTGGCACACAGTCACATTGCAGTCCCTTCTTCATTTTTCCATCCTGTGAGGACTTGGGACATGCACATGGATTGTGCCTCGTGTGTTTTTCGAGTCAGGATTTCAATAGTAGTTAGCCCTGTGAGATCCATTCCTTTTAACCACTAGATTATGGACTGACCCAACTCTTGAGTTACTTCATAAAGTCAAAATGTCTCTTTGAATGATACACAGTCAGAGAAGCCAAAAGTCTCCTTTTGCAACTCTTTCCTCTATTCTTGACCTGGCATAATTCAAGGGTGTGAAACACTGTCAGTCTCTCAATGCATTTATCTAATTTTTGTTATTCCCATGATGACATCTATTGCAGGTTCGCAACACATAGCAAATATATTTTAAAAAAATAAAGAACTATCAGAATTAAAAACAGCTCGTTTGAGAAATCTCCTTTATTAAGATGAAAGAAAGTAATGATTTTATGGTTTGTTACTCTACTAGATGTAACTAAAAACTGTGCCTTTTGCTCCCGGGACATACTTTAATTTGCAAGCTTATATTGTTAAAGGATCATCTTTATATCTTAATAGTACCATTTGTCTTTGATAAAGCAATGATGCTGTTTGATTGTAAAAAACACTTCTACCTACCTCGGTGGAAACTGCATTAAGTTGTACTTCATTATGGTCCAGATACACCATATATCAAATGATTCTTTTGGTTTGTTTTGGGGGCTGGCCCTATAGCCTTGTGGTTAAGGGAGCCCTCATCGTTGACTCAAGTTTGAATCCCACCCAGCCCTGTGGCTTCAAAAGCATGTTGGGTGCTTTTGCATTCATGCCCAAAATCACAACAGGAAAGAAAATGGAGAAGGAATTGTGGTGTTACCACGCTCCATTTCAGGATGCTGGCCCCTCCTTTTCTGTCCCTCTCTTGCTGTCTCTAGTGAGCCACATGCCCTCTGGCAGTTAAAAAAATGTTTAAAAAAAATAGTAGAGACTTGTAAAAATACAGATACAATCAGAATTTAACCTTTTAAGAATGCAGCATGGAGCCAGCAGATAGTATGGACATTAAGGTGGATGGATCCCACATGGCCAACTGTGGTTTGAGTCCTGGACCCAGTTGCTTGAAAATCACACCAGGTATGTGAGTGTGAGTGCCCACAGTCCCTAGAGGAGAATGAAAGAGAAGGGAAATAATGTGGCATGCATTTTTATGTTCTTTTTAAAATATTTCTGTTACTGGTGAAATTTATCTCAGAGCATCAGTAAATATTTTGTTAAATAAACAAGTAATCTTATTCTGAAGGACTATATAATTGTGTTTTTTTATCGAAAGCAATATTAAACCAAAACTCAATCCCTTTCAAAGTGAGCTTGTGAACTACCTTGGGTAAGAAATGGAAAGCTGTGTTTACTTTTCATTCAGAATTTGTGAATATAAATATATTGTTACAGAATGACAGGCAATTTTAAAATTTAATTCAATAGAAAAATTATTTTAGAGCACATTGTATTCGTTTTACAACATTATATTCTTGAAGTGATTTTATTAAAATACCTACCAATTTTCTTTAAAAAAAAAAGGAATGCCCTTGATCTTTTATTAAGTTTTATTAAAATACCTACCAATTTTCTTTTAAAAAAAAGGAATTCCCTTGATCTTTTATTAATAATGCTACTACATAGGTGAACTTTGAGATTCCTTATCTTTTTCAGAAGGCGACTTCCCTTAGGAATGGGACTCAGTTCCTGAGCTCTGGTCCCCACCTTCAGATGAGCCTCACTGTGGCCAGAACCCCACCTAGTGAAAGTCTTAGAGAATAGATTCCTCCACTTCCAGTTCTTCCTGTTGCGTGCTTCACAATCACCAGTGAAAGGCCACTGCTAGGCAACCATGGATCTTTGTGCTCTATCTTTGGCTGCAGTGTTTATTCAGCAGTCTTTCTTTACCGATCTCTAATACAAAGGGATCTTCAGAGAAAGAAAATCCAAGTTATAGCAGTAGCAGGGACTTTTCTTAAAGAATCTATGTTATTTTCTTCTCCACTCCCTAAATATCATTCAAAGATGACTAAACAGTGGTTAAAACAGTATCTACTTCCTTGGAAAAGATAAGCAGTCACATGGTAAAACAAAATTGGCTTTGTAGTTAACTGCATCTGCTACTGACAACATGGAAGTTAAATGGGAAAGTCCCTTAATCTCCCTAGGGGAGGCGAATGTGACCTGACTACAAGCACTTTAATCTGTCTCTCCTTTTTTTTAATCAATGACTGAAGGTGTGTATGTGTGTTCGTGTGCATGCACATGTGCACAGTAATGGCTAGTCAGAAGGTGACAGCTTGGCGACACATCCTTATCTATTTCTAAACATTTCATAGTTTATATAAAGATATAAGCATACTATTTAGTAATTTAATCCCCTACTAAACAAATTATGGCAGTACTTGACTGAGACCAAGTTTGTTTTCGTTTCTTTCCTTTTTTTAGGTTTTTGCCATGGGGTGTGTGTACTTGGTAAAGAAAGAGAGACAGAGGGAAGGAAAGTAAGAACTCATACCCCAGGGAGGATGGCCATGCTTCAATCCCTTGTCCTTCATTCTCCTCTTGAGATTTTGGGTACACATGCACGTGCATACAAGTGCGCACATGCACGCGTGCACACACACACACACACACACGCCTAGCATGATTTCCAGCCACCAAATCTGAAATTTTAACTGTGGTCAGCCATTGGAAGTCCAGCTCCTTAGCCACCACACCACCTGTTGGTCCCCTTTCTCTTTCTTTTCTTTTTATATTAACATATAATTGTACGTATTTGTGGGGATATAGTGCAATTTTTTAGTATAAGAAAACAATGTGTGAAGATTAAATCAGGGTAATTAGTATACTCATTTTAGCCATTTGTCATTAATGTTTTGTGGGGAACAGTCACAATCTTCTTTTTTAGCTGAAAGATGCAGTAAGTTGTTGAAGAAACTACGGGATGCTCTATAAATGAGCATGTCATTCTTCCACAGGGCCATGATAATCTTCTCTTTATTATTCCAAGTTTAGTGTATGTGCTGCCAAGGAGAGCACTAAAACCAACATTCTCAATTTGCTGAGAATTCAAGGGCGAGGTTTAACTCTTTCTGTATTCTGTTGTAGATGTTAAGATTTTGGGCTGTGGGGACCAACAGATGGTGTAATGGTTACATCGCAGGACTCCCATGTAGTCGACTGTGGTTCAAGTCCTGGACCCAGCAGCTTGAAACTCACACTGGGCACGTGTGTGTGCATGCCCAAAAATCCCAAGAGGAGAATGGAGGAAAAGGGATTGTGGCCTGGCTATTCGCCCTGGGGGGTGATTTCTTACTTTCTGTCTCTCTGTCTCTCTGGCAACCACACGTGCCCTATAGCAAAAACCTCTCTCTAAAAAACCAGTTGTTTATTTTATACCCCCACAATGTTTTTTGGTTTACGTTAAGTATCACATTTCTGAGTAATAAGAGAACTTAACTTTTTTGCTTAAAATAAGCCATGGTGATATGGCATTTTCATTTATTTTACTATTGTATACAATATACTAACTTTTTTTTTTTTTGAGAGGTTTTTACTATAGGCCACGTGTGCTTGCCAGATAGACAGAGAAAGACAAAGAGACAGAAAGCGAGAAATCACCCCCCAGGGGGGATGGTCACGCCGCAGTCCCTTCTCCTCCAGTCTCCTCTCGGGATCTTGGGCATGCACGCACACGCGCCTGGCATGAATTGTAAGTCACCAGGTCCAGGATGCAAACTGCGGTGGACTACCTGGGAGTCCAGCGACATAGCCATTACGCTAACTGCTGGTCCCAATATACTAACATTTTTGAAAGTGTATATGGTGAGCATGATTTAAAGTTCAATTTCCATTACAATCATTTCAGAAAATGTAGTTTTCTGGGAAGATGAACATGTAGTGAGATTTGTGAGTAGCAAGGAAATGATATTTTGTCTGCACAGGAAGCAGGATTATATCTTACTACAAGTAGAAGAATGGAATTATATAGATATTAGAGATAGAAGTTATATTATTTCAGCAGCTTGTGAATGACAGGTGAATTACTCCTGCAGTTTACATAGCTTCCTCTGAACAGTTATTTCTTTTTGTGTTTCATATTATTAAAATTCTTGGGCAAATAGTCCTTACTGAGTTGTTGTTTGTTTGTTTGTTTGGTATTTTTTTAGTTTTACTATAGGACATGTGTGCTCACCAGAGACAGACAGAGAAAGAAAGAAAGAGAGAAGGAAAATGGGAAATCATCCCCCATGGATGACCACACCACAGTCACTTCTCCTCCATTGTCCTCTAGGGATTTTGGGCACACGTACACAGGCACCTGGTACGATTTTCAAGCCACCAGGTCAGGATTTGAACTGAGGAGTCAGCCATGTAGGATACAGCTGCTCTAACCTCCACACCACCCACTGGCCTGACCTTACTGAGTTTTTAGCTTCAAATTTTGTTTATCTTCCAAAAATCAGGGGAAAAAAAATCCATAGATCGAAAAATTGCCATGAGCCAGGTGTTTTCCTCTGTGCTACCTCATTTAGTCCTTGATAATGTAGTTCAGATGGTCTCCATTTTTAGAAATGCTGAAACGTAGGGTTCATAGTCTTCCCATGCTGTCTTGCCCATGTCTTCTTTCTCTGCTGATCCTTAAATTCCGACTTGAAATTGACCTGGTCTTTAGAATGGGGAAGAGGTCAGTGACCTGCATATTGAGACTTGGTGGTTCCCTTAATGATCCCAAGTCTTTTTTCCAGTGTCACAATCTAACTATTCCTGTTAACATTGATGAGGCTGCCTGACCTTCACTGATCAGCAATAAAGTCTTCCTTTACCCATTTTTCTATGAGCTCTTTTAGACTTTTATGACAAAGCTCTCAACCTAGTTTACAGCCGTTTTTAGCCCTGGTGACCTCCATGGCAAGATTCTCAGCACAGCCCAGGAAACGTGATGCCCCAGTGAGGTTTCGTGTTTCTGCCCGTGGTTACAGCATTCCATGTGCTCTCTCCCTTCAGCCCTTCCACAAAGAATCTCATGGGGGGAGGGAAAGTTAAGATCCAAGATTTTAGCATTCCATGAGGTTATTTATATTTAACAACTTTATTTCTCTGTTATTTTCTAGAATGAAACTCTTGGTTTTATTTTCATGTTTCTCTGACCAAAAGCAGTATGCAAGTAGAGATAGAAAGTAATAACTTAGGGCTTGGGGGGAAAAAATCAGATAAACTGAAAAGAAACAGTAGGTAAATGAGTCAGTTCTCAGCAAACTGAAACTCCTTTCAGTTTGTTTTTCCATGTTGCCAAACTGACTCATGGAACCACAGTCTAGAAGCCCACAGGGCCTTACCTTAAGCTGATTAAAATCATAATACCTTACATTTCTGCAGAACTTTATGGTTTCCATAAGACATTCACTTTTGCCATAATTATCTTACATCTTCTCTTCTAGCTTATTAAATATTTTTGTTAGACAAACAAACCAGAGAATTATTCTCCAAAAGGTCACCACCCCCATACTCCAAACAGTTGAATACAATTTATGAAGGTATTTATTTACTCTTTCTTTTAAAAACCTTCTTGGTCCCAGTGGCATTGAGCACATCCAGCACCCACATGTTGGGTTCACACCATTTTCCAGTAAAAAGAAGTAGAGATCCTTGGAGAAATGGCCAGTTCTAGTCATGGAGCAGGGACGGTGCAGGGTGAGCTGGGAACATCTCGTTGTGCCAGAAAGTGAGCAAACCCACAGAAATACGATAATGGCTGCATTTGTCACAGGGAATCAGGAGCCAACTGGCAGAGCTCCCAGTGGCCAAAGCTGGGATGATTTGAGCAACCAAATAGCACAATACTGGAATATAACGTAAACCATGCGAGGAGACTACGAAAAGTTTGTGGCAAAATGGAATTAGACTGTGAGTCTATTTTAGTATAAAAAACTTTTGAAATCCATGCATAGTTTTTTCATAATATGTATTTTCTATGAACTGTTTGAAGATATTGTGAACATCCATGAGTCAAACAGTTGTTTGTTGCTATCCACAGAGGACTCGTTCCAGAATCCATCACGAGTGCCGCTCACGTTCCTTATAAAAAAGTGGCGTAGTATTTCTGTATAGCCTGTGTACATCTTCCCGTATACTGTCAATCATTTTACCACACTTAGAACACCTAATGCAGTATAAAAGCTATGTGAATAGTTATACTGTATTGTTTAGGGAATAGGGACAAATAGGTTCGCATAGATACAACCATTGTAGGTCTAATTGTGTATTATAGGACAGAAACAATGGATCATTTTTCCCTCTGTGCATTTGGTGGAAATCCACAGCCGAGGAACCCCTGAATAAAAAGGCTGACTGTATAAATGATTGAATAAATAAATAAATGAGTGAGGAAAATAGCCAAATTTCCCATAGAGAAGAATTCTAAGTATTTTACATAGGTATTCCTCGTTCAAAGAAGTGGAATATTTCTTTTCTTTTTTTCTTTTTTCTTTATGTCAGAGGTGCATGCATGGGGGCAGGGGATGTGAATCTCCCAGTGGGACCTGGTCATGCTGCAATCCTTTTTCCTCCGGTTCTCCATCCCTTCAGGATCCTTAGTGCTTACGCATACTGGCATGTTTTCTAAGCTGCAGGCTTAGCTTTTGAGCCCTGGTCAGCCCACACAACATTTTGCCACTGCACCCCGGGGCTGGCCTAAGGAAGAAAAACATCACTCCCAAAAGTGTGGGCTGTGAGAATGACTTCCTTTAAAGAGCAGAGCGTGGCAAGGGGAGGAACGGAGTAGCCCTGTTTGCAGTGGAGAAATCTGCCAAGCACGGCCTTAGCCAGGTAGTCAAGGCCAACACCAACAATGACCAGCCATGTGGTATTCTGTTTCCTTGTTGTGATATGCTGAGAAGGGCCCTTCACCTCTGTAGTCTTCCTCTCAGAACCCACAACCCCAATATTATCATGAGAAAAGCAGATCAAATAGAGATGCTTCTACAGAATACCTGAGGAGTGGGCCTCAAGACTGTCAAGGGAAATCTGAGAAACTCACCTTCTAGAGGAGCCTAAGGACACATGGCAGCTACATCTAGTAGGGTTTCCTGGATGGGATTCTAGAGCAGAAAAAGACATGAGATAAAAACAAAGGGGATCCGAATAAAGTATCCTGTTAGTTAGTAATAGTCTATCAGTATTGCTTCCTTAGTTCTATTAGATGTGCTATACCATAGTAAGATAGTAAGAGCAGGGGAAATTGGCCAAGTTTAGAATATATTGGAACTTTGTATTGTCACAACTTTTCAGGAAATACCAAACTTTACTAAAATAAAAAGTTTATCTGAAAACAAAGCAAAACAAAAACCCTTCATAAGATTGTCAGTAATGATACTGCCACTGATGACTGCAACTTTGCCACATCTCTTTGTGTCCTGGCAGCCATTCCAGTGCCATTCGTGGTCCTGTGGTGACGGGTGGAGGGTACAGGTGTGAAGGGAGAAGGTGCATTATTATGCCTCAGCATGAGGCTGAGGAGGGGACCAGACATCAGGTCGGGGAGGCATTGTGGTCGCTGTAGAGCTTTTGGTGTTTATTCTGAGGACCTTGAGAAATCACTGACAGTATTTTTAAGGCAGGTAGTGACAAGATCAGATTATGTTTTACATTATCCACTGGCTGCCAAAGACAGATGGATTAGGAGGAGGCAGTGGTAAAGGTGGAGTTATAAAGGTTCCTGTGGTGCAGTCGTTACTATATAGGACTGTAAAGCTGGAAGCCACATGCTCCCCATAGTTCAAGTCACCTGCCAGGGCGACCTGAAAACATACTAGGTGTATGCATGTGTCCTGGATCCTGGCAGGCTGAAAGACTGGAGAAAGGGGATGATGGCATGACTGAGCCCTGTGGACAGTTCTTCCTTTCTCTTTCTCGCACATGTGTGTGCACTCTGATGAATTTTTTAAAAATTAAAAAATAAAGGCCCGGGTGTGAAAAGAAAAGGTTCCGCAGTGTGGACAGTGACCTGGTAAAAGATGAGAGTGGGAAACTAAGTAAGT